GGGGGAGAGGAAGGAAATTGGAGGGGGGAAGAAGGAAATTGGAGAGGGAGGGGGAGAAGAAGGAAATTGGAGGGAGAGGGGGGAGAAGGAAATTGACGGGGGGGAGGGGGAGAGATTGACATCCATCACACACAATGCACCCCTTTCACACAGAAAAACACACAATGTATTACACACAGATACACGTACACAAGAAATGCATCCCTTACACACAGCAACACACAATGCACCCCTTACACACACTCAATGCATCCCTTACAGACGCACACACTGCATCCCATACATACACAAACTCATCTTGCAGCCCTTACACAGATTCACACAATGCATTCCTTACACACATCAGGACATCCCCCACACACACACACTCCACTCCCTGTGAACAAACTCATTGGTGGACATGAAGGTGGACCCTGGGACCCAGACAGTGAGCTGTGTAAAGGGCCCTCAAAAAATTTGGAGCTGCTTCCCGTTCTCCCAGAACAGTGATTTTTGTGACCACAGTTACAAGCCGCCTCCAGAGAGCCTGTTGTACACCAGACCAGTGGAACCAGACGGCAGCTAGAGCCCATCATCATCCTCATCTGGTTGTAAGTAGGCAATCTAGTATATTATTCGTGGCACTAATCTCTAATTTACCTCACATTAACCCCTTAAGGACACATGACATGTGTGACATGTCATGATTCCCTTTTATTCCAGAAGTTTGGTCCTTAAGGGGTTAAAGGGACACTATAGTCCCCAGAACCACTGCAGCTTAATGTAGTGGTTCTGGTGTCTAGCCTGTCCCTGCAGGCCTTTTAATGTAAACACGGCGGCACTGCAGCACTGGTGTTAGTTAACATGGCAGATCATATGGGTGGGGCATTGTGATGTCACATGGTGGAGGGGCGGCAAACTTTACTTTTGCCTAGGGTGGCAAAAATCCTTGCACCGGCCCTGTAGACACTGCATCCCTGTGGGCGGATTTGGGGGGGGGGCAGCACTTTGGGCGGACTCGGGTGCAGGCACCGGGGGGCCCAGACCTTGAGCTGTGTCAGGGGCCCCAACATTTCTGATGGCAGCCCTGCCTGTGTGTCTCTCTCTGTGTGTCTGTATGTGTGTGTGTGTGTGTGTCAGTGTTTGTCTGTATCTGTGTTTCTATGTAACCGAATGTGTGTACCCATGTGTCTGTGTATGTGTGCCAGTGTGTGTATATGTGAGTATATGTGCATACATCTCAGCATTTTGCCTACACTACACACAAATACAACTCTGCATCCAAATGTTAACACTACATAAAAACACACCACCATATTTAAAAACCACACTACAGAAAAATGTACGCCCGCATTCAAATGCCAATACGCACAAACACACCCATACATTCACTCACACATACTCCATACAAAAACCTACTTACATTGAAACACACAAACACTGCTCGGTGCTACATACATAAAAAAAAATGCAAACACTGCTCGGAGCTAAATACATTAAAAAAAAATTGCAGGTGTTTTTTTTAATTTTTAAGCGGTGGAGGGGGCAAACAAATATAGGATCCGCCCTGTGTTTCCAAAATGCTCCAGGTATGCCCCTACCTATACCCGAGAGACCTAATCTGTCCATGGATTTTATTGTTGACCTTCCAATGGTAAAATGGTCATCCTAATGATCG